TACGCTTATACAACACAGGTGTAACAAGGTACCGTGTTTACCCAAAAAAGAAGACCTAGCCTGAATTTTAAAAATGATTTTATTACAAGCCCTCCCCCATAGAATAAGACCTATATAGTCATGTTTTTTATATTTAAAAATCTCATAATTCTCTACTTTGTAATTTTGTTTTTAATAAATGAAAATGAAAGACACCCCTCCTCCTATTTTTGAGGAAACGCGTATTTGGACCCAAATATAACGACACCACTTTTTTCAAGTGGCTCGAGTAAATGGTGTAAACGATTTCAAGACGGGGTTAATTGAAGATACAAATAGTTTCCAAGTGTGGGGTATACTCACGTCTGGATTTTCAAACTCGTTTCGATCAAGGAATTATCCAGTCAAATTAAATTCTTTGATTAAACATACCTAACTCATGAAGAATCTCGATATCACTGGCGGTCTTAGTCTATTTACAGAAACGAATCGCGACCGACTATAGAAAATAGGTTGTAGGGGAAGGTGGGCCACGTTGGGACATGGGGCATAGTGGAAAATCAGCTCTCATACTATATCCGGTCTGCGGTTCGATGTTTGAATCCGCCCTCCGGTGGGTTACAACGTCCCCGTAAACGGACAACAGCCGTGTAGAGCAACGCAAGCTATAAGGTGAAATTGGTTTTGGGGGGTTGAAACTAAAATTTCACCATTCCAGTTTTTTTTTTCTACCTTATCCGTTTCAACGTGACAAACCACGGACTGATATTTTTTTTAGCTTTAGTCCACTGTAAAATGTTCATAACGTTGGCGAGTGGACGACGGACGTGCTTTCCTAATATCGCCGTTGGAAAGTCTGACATATTTGTTTTTTTTATGGAGAACAATGGAACGGGGTTTAGCGGGACATGCCCCACTGGGCACAATTCGACAGTGTTTGAACCATTAAGTGCTTAGAGGCCTAGAGATGAGTTATGTTTCTTGCGTTATGGAATACATTAAAGAATCAAGTATATTATCGGATTCGAAAAAGGAAATAATTTAATTTGTTTACGGAATTTTTTCGAAAAATATATGAAATATTTTGGTTGAACATTGATTTCAAAAATAATAAATCTACAAAATTGAAGTCCTGCCATTTTTTCCCTGTCCGAATGTGCCCCACAAGTGGAGTACAGTGGGAAACTTGGCAAAGATTTTTTAAAGCATTTTGGTGATAAGATGTATGTCTCAAATGTAAAAGAAAAAAGTGTCTCAACTTTCCCCACTTTCCACTACACCCCTGTATTGGACGATAGAGACATATGAAGCTCATTCCAATTTTTATTGGTCGCAAATTTTCTTTGATGGGCCATCTCCTTTTTTGCAACTTTTCTTCTTTTCTTGTCAGAACTCTGGAATTTTTTCGAAAAATATATGAAATATTTTGGTTGAACATTGATTTCAAAAATAATAAATCTACAAAATTGAAGTCCTCCCATTTTTTCCCTGTCCGAATGTGCCCCACAAGTGGAGTACAGTGGGAAACTTGGCAAACATTTTTTAAAGCATTTTGGTGATAAGATGTATGTCTCAAATGTAAAAGAAAAAAGTGTCTCAACTTTCCCCACTTTCCACTACACCCCTGTATTGGACGATAGAGACATATGAAGCTCATTCCAATTTTTATTGGTCGCAAATTTTCTTTGATGGGCCATGTCCTTTTTTGCAACTTTTCTTTTTTTCTTGTCAGAACTCTGGAAGGTGCATTAATATTTTGACTATCGATCACACAAAGTCATCAAATTAAAGTCATTAACGGAAAATTCATTGAGGATCCTGATAGATGGTAAATTATTGAGAAAGCCATTTTATGATCATTTTCTGTGTAATGTATTAAATATTTATATAAACGTTATATTGTTTTCAGAATAGGTTTTGTTGCAAATTCTCCTGAAGTTTTTATTAACTCCCCTATTTCTAATTTTATATACGATGTTCTTAAATTGCCATTGCTGTAACCATTTTTTCTTTGTTTGTTGTTTGCTTTCCTTGTAATTTGTATACATTTCTCACGTTCTTTTATTTATTTTATTATATATCTTAGCAAAATTTCGTTTGCAGTGAATTTTTTAATAATTTACGTATTAGAGTCAAAATCTGTTCACCGTTACTACTATTGCTACAATATTTTTAGCATATGCAGTTATTTTTACACTACTGCTTGAAGAAGACGTTTGTCGCACAGCAGACGTTGATGGTATATTTATTTTTGTATCAATTTTTGTGCATTTTTTCATGTGACGTCTGACTGAATAAAAATCCATATTTGTTAGAGCCCACAGAAATTTTTGAAATAAATAAAAATGTTAGCCTTCGGTGACAACAACAATCTCTATTCACTGAACATTTCACAGCAATTAGTCCAGTGGCTCAGTTGAAGAGAAAGGGGTCGCGGCGGTTTGGTGAGCGAGCCACGAAAATTTACAGATTTGTATTATATGATTGGATATTTAACTTATATATTGTATTTATTATAAATGTTCAGATTCAGATATTTATTTTCGTCATGCAAGAATCAATTCAAATAGAATGAAAAACATAGCAAACTAAAAAACGGGAAACATCGATCCATAGCAATTAACGTGGGATCGCGGAAGACTCAGTGAGTCATCCAGTCAGCGATACCAAATGCTGTAATATAGAGCAGCAAATATAGCAATGAGACAATCTGATAAAAATAACTATAAATTACACAATCATGGGAAAACAACACAACAATAAATTTGAAATAGATTAGACAACAGGAACAACCATTACGATTCATCCAGAATATATAGCTTATTAGCGACATCTGGTGATTTATATACGCATCACTGAATACAAACAACGGGGTAGTTACCAGTACCGGTACCTAGACATAAGTTTTTGGTAAAGTAGACGACTTCACTGGCATAAAAATGGAGTACCGTTATGCAGTATGCAATTACAAGTGAAAATGTTTTATGTGCTTTATATTTTAAATGTTTTTATTGTTTCTTATTTTAAATGCCGTATGTTATATGAATCAATAAATTTGTTTTACTTTTTATATCTATGTCGATCTGCTCTGTTGTTATGTAGCAATAGAGGTAGACACTGCTTGCTGCAATTGCGTGAACTGCAGTTTATTCTGAACCGAGAATAGAGCTGAACCGAGATTAGCAAACTTGTTGAACACGTAGTGGACATAGCGATCGTTTTGTTGAATGTTGTTCTTTGACACGTTTTGAAAAAATTGCTTTTCTTTTTGATTACTGGACCAATTGCTTTGAAATTTTCAGTGGGTAAAGATAGAATTTTGTTTTCCAGGAGGCTATAACTTTTTTACTCGCTATGACGTCATCAGAATTATGTGCCTCTACGTGTCCATATATTTGAGTATAGCTTTGTTGTTATATTTCAAAGCAAAATCAAGCAAAGACGAGAAAGAAAAATTGACATTCCCTTTATTCTTCAAGCGCACATTTTTCAAAAACTTCAAAGGATATAAAGTACACATAAACGATCTCGAAATTAAGTTTTATTTGAAGTTAGTATTTTTTTCGTGCAAGCTATAGCTGTGAGTTTTTTCTCTGATAATTTGGCGCAGCATGAAAAAAGTTTAGGAACTGCCGTCATAATGCAATCTCTTTTATTGTGTTGCATGGGTGGCGTTCTTTTTAAGAAGATATATAAAGCCTTCAGTTATTTTAAAGTTAATTCCCGAGAATTACCGTTGTATTTTGCGCATCTCGCGTTTAATGTCGCTTCAAATTATATTCTTTCATGGCAGATATTACTTGAAATCAAACCAGACACTGTGTGATGGGCAATGAAATACGTTTCCGCTGTGTTTTTCCTTATATGTCACCTTTCCTGCGACACTCATTTTATTACGAATTGTTATATTGAGAAATTTGAAAACTTGCAGCGTGAGCAAGCTTAGTGCCATCGTCAAATACCCACCAAGTCTCTCTAAGTTGGTATTTCGGGACCTAGCTAAATAAAAATGGATTGCGCGGCTCTGCGTTTCGTCACTACTGTCACATGGCCGACGCTTAAAAACAGAGGAGTGTTTTACTAGAATAAAGGCACAAAGCGTTATTTCGGGATCCAAACCCCAGTTGGGATAGCTAAAAAAAAACTCAAAAACGTTCCTGCATTAGATACAAATATACGCTATTCCTCACGGAATGTATCAGCATTGACAGGGTTTGGACCACCCTGGTCTACTTTATCAAAAACTCCCGACTTCGCTGACCACTAGATTGTTGAAATTCGATCGTGGAACCGCCACATAGTGTAAATAGTTCATTGGTCCAATTGTTGAGAAGAAAATAATTTTTTTTAATACAAAAATGCAGCCAAAAGGAGAATACTAGAAAGAAAAACAACAACAATTTAAGAAAACGACTCATAGGCCTATTTCTTGTTCAAAAAAAGTTTCAGTGTTTATTTTTAATAATGTAGGTAATATGATACTTGAAGACAAATAATAAGCGAACATTTTGAAGTTTAATTCGTCTGGTGAACTCGTAATATTTTAATAAAAACCGATAAACTATATAAAATTCTGCTCTAAAATTTCTGTGGTGCCCCTTTTTGCTTGGTGCCCTAAGTACGTGCTTATATTGTTTAATGGTCAATCCGGCGCTGCTGAGATGAGCTGAAAAGGGGCGCTCCAGAAGTATGTGTACCAATATGGAGGTATCTAATTTTGTTCGCCTATTTTACATCCAGTTGTGTAAAGGGACTGAAACCTATGGGCAGGGGGTCATTCACTTGGCTAACACAGAAAGTCCCTGAACGCGTAATAAAACTAAAATAAGGAAAACCGAATTAAAATTATGGCCTAACCTGGTAGTATATACTTATACTACGAGAGTACTGGAAAAGCAATAATTTTGGCGACAATCCCCAACTTTAAAGTAACCAGCATAAACAAAATATTCGTCTCGGCAATGCTTGCGTGCAAACGACCGCGGATGTGGCCTAATTGCTCATTGCAACAAGATTAGGACGGACGCATGTTGTTTGAATACTAAATATTCATCATATAATGCCATCCTAGTCACATACAGTACCGTGAATACCACGCTATCGCACCCAGTGTAATTTTATTTTCAATGGAAATAGGAGTCCAATTAAGCAAGATATAAAAATAAAATTTGATCTGATTGATCTTAATTTGATTAATCACACGTACACAAAATCTAATGCAAATAATTAGCTACACACAGAATAAATAATAAAACTTTGATACAATCTGTCACAAATTTAAAATATATTTGCACTTCGGATTGAAACCCAAATTCGGGACACCAAAGTTCAATTGCCAAAAATGAAGTGCTATGAAAACCTTGTCTTCAACATCAGTTGGTTCAAAAATATAAATCTAGTCTCGACTCAATATTTCTTTATGGCAATACCAATCAAAATTAATCTACCAGAATGGAGCTGACATTCAGGCGTATTGTCAATTTTAGGTACCAACAACCTTTTCGTTCAAATTTCCGCAGTTTGGCTTGAAAATTCTAACGTGAAATCATTCGAAACGATTCTGGTGATTCCAAGATTTGTATTTCCACGCCAATTTATGCGCTGACCGTTCTAAGACTTGCCATATGGTTGTTCTACACGGTCTCTTCACAATATGGACCAATACGTCTGTTTGTATTAAAATAAAATGGTTTTGTCTGTGAAATTGTAGCCGGCTTGGTTGACAGGTCAAAAGCAGAAACCTTATTTTGCTTCCTCCGGAGGAAAATTCTCAATATTTGCCATCTGTCTTTGAATGTCATGAATATGCAAATGACATTAACAAAAGACATCATGTCTCCCATTGTAACACGAATTGAAACAGGAAAGTTTTCTGGAGTCAATCGTAAATTTATCCCACCAATTATGACGTCCGTGATAACAGCAACGAATGCCCAGATAAGAGCACGACGAATCGCTTTTTGTACTTCACTAGACTTCGAATTTCCTGTATCACACAAAAGTTGGATCCATTTTGAGCCATGATATTTTGATTTGTATTCCATGGTGTTCTTGACAACGGCGTAGACAAACATGCCAAGAAGGGCTATTTGGGCTACAATCAACGGAATGCGCCCGACCGCACGTAGGACTCCGTTATCGATGTTGTCAGTAGTTAGACAACCTTGTGGTACTGGCCGCTGGTCATCAAACATAATCAACTTAATTATAACTAGAATCATTTCTGATGGGAGTAGCGCAAATATTCCCCAACTTAGGCAAGAGATATAATTTCCCGAAGAGATGCTTTTTTCATAAATTATTCTCTGTCTCACCCATAAGAAGAAATAAACAAGATATGTAATGATCGAGTAATACACTTTTGACACAGCATCGACTGCGTTGCATAATGACGAAGAGTTTGCACCCCGAGGTGCCTGGATTGAAACTTGCGTGAATAGCAATTTTTGGATGATGACGCTTAGAACTAAAGTATAAATAATGTACAACAGTTTTGCAGTGAAAAAACTTGTCGTTTGTTTGTTTTTCCATTTTCCATTATGAATACAGTAGACAACAAAACTTGCTAACATCCAACATGATAGTAAAAAGAGAATTGCCATCACTGCTTGTGATAACGCCAGTGTTATATTGACCACATAATCGTTCGAACCCTCACGGCTGAAGTTAAACGTCGGACTCGGTGCTACTGTTGAATTCATGTCCATAAACGTATGGTTAGTAGCCGATACATTGGAATTCCAACTGCCATTGTTCAGCATCTGATTTGTAGTAACCGTTCTGTTTCCAAAAATCGTTTTCATTTTTCAGGTACACGGAGAAAAGATAAATGCCTGTTTCAATCACAGAGTAGCAAACAAAATGTTCAATGGAAAATCAATCTTGTACAAGGAGGATAAACGACAAGGTAATATATATTATAAAACACCTGCGTTAATTAATAATACATTCGTAACATCTTCTTCCTATCAGTAATTATTGAGCATAATGCCACAGGATAAATACCTTATATAGAGTGATTTTGTTCTCAAATATTCAAAAATCCTTTCATTCTATAATTGACTATTGTTCCTTACATATCATCTGGATTATCAATTATTTATTTAGACTGAAATCTCGGGGCTCCCGAAGTATGCGAACCAAGATGGCGGACATCGGAATGTAATATGTGTACTAGGTTGGGGTTAGGCCAAAATTTTAGGTTTAAATACTACGGGAGGCTCTTGGCTAGTCTTCGAACTGATAATAGGACTGAAATAAGGGAAATTGGAAAAAAATTATCGCCTAACCCTAACCTGTTACCCATGTTACGTTCCGATGTCCGCCATCTTGGTTCGCATACTTCGGGAGCACCAAAAATCTCTTTGTCTGTAATATCATTGTAAAATTTTATCTTTCCTCACGAGGAAAACGAAGAAATCAAACACACATATATTGGAAAACGTTCTCGTGAAATATCTAATTTGTTAAGACGGTTTTATTACGGTATAACCGTTAAAATGGGGTTTTATTGTTTCCTCGGGCAGTGGATTTCAACTGGTGTTCCAGTTGAACCACATTCAGTCGTTACGTGTCAAATTGTTATATCACAATTTTTCTGATTGTCATATTTATGATACTAAATAGAAATGATCTGGGAACGTATTAAATTAAGATGAATTTGTTGTTTATTAATAAGAATAAATAGAAGACTTTTCCCCATCGAAGCATACCCCATATATTTCATCATAGCTATTCCTGTGTTATTGGACACGCAGTTATAACGATAGTTTCAATATTATGTTGTTGTTGTTCTTTGACACGTTTTTAAAAAGTCGCTTTTCTCTTTGATTACTGGAGCAATTGCTTTGAAATTTTCAGTAGTTAAAGATTGATTTTTTTGCCAGAAGGCTATTACTTTGACTTATTTCGAAAGTGTTCGTGAACTTCAAGAGATTGGTTTTTTATGTGCCAGAACAACATAATATTGAAACGATCTCTATGTCCACCACGTGTCTAAAAATGACATTTAAGAAGATAAGAATTTGAAATATATCTGCACTTTGAAGTGAAACCCAATCTCGGGACACTAAACTTATTGCCAAAAATGGAGTGCTGATGAAAACTTTCTCTTCAACGTCAGATGATTTAAATATTCAAATCTAGTCCCGACTCAATATTTCTTTATGGCAATACCAATCGTAATCAATCTCCTAGAATCAAGCTGACAATCAGGTGTATTGTCAATTTTAGGTACCAACCCCTTTTTCTTTCAAATTCTCACAGTTTGGCTGGAAAATTCTAACGTGAAATCATTCAAAACAATTCCAGCAATTCCAAGATTCGTAATTACACACCAATTTATGCGCTGACCGTCCTAAGCATCTTATATGGTTTTTCTACAATGTCTCTTCACAATATGGACCAATACGTCTGTTTGTATTCGAACAAATTGGTTTTGTCTGCGGAATTGTAGTCGGCTTGGTTGACAAGTCAGAAGCTGCAACCTTATTTTGTTCCCTCTGGAAGAAAACTCTCAATACTTTCCATCTATCTTTGAATGTCATGAATATGCGAATGACATCAACAAAGACATCATGTCTCCCATTGTCACACGAATACAAACAGGAAAGTTTTCTGGAATCAATCGTAAATTTATCCCACCAATTATGACGTCCGTGATAAAAGCATCGAATGCCCAGATAAGAGCACGCCGAATCGCTTTTTGTACTTTACTTGACTTCGAATTTCCTGTACCACACAAAAGTTGGATCCATTTTGAGCCATGATATTTTGATTTGTATTCCTTGGTGTTCTTCACAACGGCCTAGAGCAGGGGTGCACAACCTTCCTTCTTCGGACGACTGCATTAGGTTTTTATAAATGCTCCACGGCCGCCAGTGAAATCGAGCTCTTTTATAAGTCATATTTATTTTAAAACCTGGCTTTCATTCATATATCTCCTTGGCGTGGGTCCAAAATGTTTATGAAATGGTTAAATTTGAACAAATATACTGAATAAAAGTGTCTAAGGGTGATCAAATATTTTCATCGAATCGATATTCGGATAGTTTAATCTACAGTCTCAAGAGAAGCCAGAGCACCGGTTGACACTTACTTTATTTAATGTTGTTATTGGCGCAGCGAGAGGGCCAGCCCAAATCTCCGCTTATTTTTCAACATTTTCGGGAGACCTAAAAGGTTGCTAATAACGCATGCTGTTTTCACAGCGCTAATATTATTCACGTCGCCGATTGTTTTCATCAGCTTGACGCGGTTACTTGGGCCGTTAACATCGATATTATGTCCGTAAATTATCTCAAAAAACTCGTTTTTATGCAATCATCGGCATAAAGACGTTAAATATAATTAAAAGTGTGAATCTGCAACTAAAAATTTTCAACTGAAAATAAGGAGTGAATATTGGGACTCTAAAATTGTGTTATGAAATATTAACAACATGAACGGAATACACCGTAACTTTTGCTTTAGGATTCCGTGCCAGATGTAAAAACGCTACTTTAGACACTGTAAACTGCCATTATGTAAAATTGAGCCATTATATATCATAATTACCGAAGTTAAAACAAATATTCGTGCCCACGATGTACAAGATATTTTAAATGCTCGTCGTGAATGCTCATCGTGAATGTATTTTGTTTAACGTGAAAAATTATTATCCACCGAAAAAGCTGGCTCTTTCAACGAGTAGCGTCATTGTTATCCACTTAATGCCGGAATTATGATCCGTTGAGAGAAAAAAATCGCCGCTTCGGTTATTTGCTATAATTCAAGGCCGTATAATACGAATTTCAAATTATTTTTTTTATCTCACCCCCCATTTTGGAGAAAATTTTGTCACGAAATCGATACACTCGTCCACGTGATGAATTTATTGTGTCGATACTCACACGTATTGCGACTGATACAAATGGAAACACAACAAATTCAATTCAAAATAAACGAAACCGGACAACAGAAAATGGTCAGTAGACCGTACTGTTGGTCATTAATATACGCCATGGTACAACGCAAAGCAATTTTTGGCTTTGTTTAAATCATAAATATACTCCGCATTTGGTACATCTGATTACCGACTTGCTATCACACCCAGGGAAACGACATCGCTGTCTCTTAGCTTCTACCACTGGCCAATGGCCAGTGGCGTCGGTTCTAACCTCATTGTTGCGGTGTGGAGTAGCTGTGCTTCTGATTCATGGTGGGGTAGTAGACAATGCCCTGCCTCGCTTAAGTAAAGCACTTGGATGTTTTCTAAGCTAGCAAAAAGATTATGCCACAGAACATAGAAACGATAAAAGATCTCGCTGCTTGTTACTCGCAACTCCTAGGGACTCACAATCTCTTCTGTATAGGATCCAGCTGTTTACAATAGCCAAATCAACCATGTGGAAGAAGATCCTCAGGTAGTATATTTTTGACCGAATGCGTTTTCTATAGTAGGCTATACGCGCATCTAACAAGTCTACGCCTCCCATGCTACGGTTATAAAAATCTACCATAAAAGAACGAGTCACCATTATGTGCTGTTTCGTGACGTTGTTTCATCTTCGAACTTCTGATGTCTGCATGGCGCTGGCAAACGAACCGGAAATAGTTACACTTCCTTTATCATGCCACTTCACAACTCTTATTTCAGTGTCCTCAACAAATGACATCTTTTCCTGAAAACATCCCCGTCCTCTCTTTTTTCAAACTTTTGTCAGATTCCAGTTCGCATCCTAATAACCGATTTTGTCTCGCCGTCTCTATACAATAGATCTTCCTTTTGGCGAGAACGGACATCAAAGGTATGGACGTAAACCAATTGTCAAAACAGAGTATGTGATTTACATCATTCTCTACATTATCAGTCAGTTTGATGACTATGTTAGCACTAGCTCCGAGATCAGGGTAACCAGACACAGGATGTATCTTTCCTGTATTTTTTTTTCAAAGTTGTGTACCAAACCCTCTGTTCCACTTAACATAAAGATTTTATACCCCCATTTGTGGGGCGTTTTGGGAAGATATTGTTTCAGCCCTGACCTCCCAGTAAACGGAACCATCTGCTCGTCGATACATAAAACTTGCTCTTGATGCAGTGGTTTGGATTTTGCTTCAAGCATTTCTAACGGGGGTCTGATTTTGAACAATCGATCTTGTTGAACATCAGAATTGCCCTGAAGTAAATCGTTGTTATTGAAATGGAGAATTTTTTTATGCTTTCCCATCGATCACCGGTCATTACATCGGCGACCTCGTTAATCTTTGTTTTCACAGCCCAAAACATACGTGTTCTCGGTAGACGAAAAATAGACATGTAAACGACACAACCAAGAAACTTCTCCATTTCTGGAATTGTAAGGTTTAGTTGTTTGAAGGGATCGCTTTGGCTCGCATAGATATTAGTTTCCGCAACTATTTGGTGCATTACAACCGAGTCAAATAAATAGTTAAAATATTAATTGGTGCTCGCACTGTTTCCGATTCATACTCACGGCCTTTCCATGCAGGCAGCTCTTGTGCTGATTCTGGGTCACTTTCCTGTGCAATCCTCCATATGGGCTTCCTACGTGGGATATTGATACCAATACACACCTCGACTTCAACCACGGAAGAAACTGGCATCTCGCCTGACCCTCTTGCTTCCTGATCACTTTCTTCTCCCTGGTCGCTACTGCTGCAGTTACTGTCTTCACTAACATTCCCACTAGGTGGAAAGCGGATTTTCCATCTCATCCATTTTTCACTATTTGAATAAATCACTTCTACCACTAAACAATTTGAAGAAATTTCTGCACATTACTTTAGCCAGTCAAGCAAAACTTGATCAAAATATTATCAGGTTCAGAGGAAAAGACAACTAATTAAACATCACTATGTATAAATTTATATAAACAGAGTTACACATACTCAAAATATATCAGATTATGTTCCTATTTCTGCTCTTTACTTTTAAGTGTCTTGGTTTATGAAAGACAACTTAAACTAGAAAACATGGACGGATGGGACGATTTGGTGACAGTTGGGAAAACTGGCGTCAGTAGTAAACAATAAATTGTTCGGCAAAAATCTTTTTACCAAATGAAAGTACACATAAAGGCCTCTTACTATGATTTTTTTCGACTCTCTGAT